ACAGAGAATACCATGTACCTTCACACGGGGGAAATCAATCATGGACCTCTCAGAAGATCCGTGGGAGGAAGCCTCCTCCAGTAATATCCATTATAATTCCAGCTCCACGCCTGGGGCACCCTATCCCGCTGAGATTTAATATCTATTGAACATGTCTTTGTGGCTAATTAAAAGCCTCGGTTTACCAGATCAATATTCTCTGTGACAGAGGCTCTTGTCAATGAACTGTCACACCAAACACTCTATGTAATGATCTAAGCCACAATGCCATAATCCATTAGACACTCTCTTCACATATTGATACTTTCTAGGCACTGTTATGAGGTTATCATTTTGTATATGAAAACCTCAAACTGATAATGTGATCACACAGTATCAAGACAAAAGGCTTTCTACAGATTCTGTGTAATTTAAGTCAACACCAAAATGACTGACAATATCCAAGTTACATGTAAAATATGATCATTCCATATATAGTTCAAGTATCTTTTGTTATTCTATTTCTTCCAGCCTTTAAAATGCTATCATATGTATCTTTAAACAGTCAATCCTGTTAACTCAACCGCATACACCAATATTATCTTGCTCTCCTGTGTGTTTACATCTACAGAATATAACACCAGGTAATTCAACCACATAATCTAATATCATTCTCCACAACTTAAACCATAACGCTGACTTCACCAGACCAAGGATGTGTGGCCACCACAGCTTTGTTTACTAGTACACACAGAAATCAATCCTCTACTTCCAGGTTCTACTCAACACTCACTACCTGCATCATCATACACCCCCATTTNTATTCTATTTCTTCCAGCCTTTAAAATGCTATCATATGTATCTTTAAACAGTCAATCCTGTTAACTCAACCGCATACACCAATATTATCTTGCTCTCCTGTGTGTTTACATCTACAGAATATAACACCAGGTAATTCAACCACATAATCTAATATCATTCTCCACAACTTAAACCATAACGCTGACTTCACCAGACCAAGGATGTGTGGCCACCACAGCTTTGTTTACTAGTACACACAGAAATCAATCCTCTACTTCCAGGTTCTACTCAACACTCACTACCTGCATCATCATACACCCCATTTCCATAGATTTTTAGATCGATCTATCCCTGTGGGGAGTCTCACTAGATTACTGTCAGCTTGGCCGGCTTAAGCGTCTGTCCTGCCTACTAAAAGCTGTAAGGGGGTAATTAACTATGGTGCCCGCTCGGCTGACTGCAATTTAGCGTGAACCCCCAGGGAGTTAGGTCGATCTAAATCTTAATCTTTAGATCGATCTAAATCTCTGGGAAAGCACCCTAAGACTGAGTGTAGCAACCTGAGCAGATCTACAGCTAATCAATCTTCTGCCACTTCTTTACATTGTCATATTTTCAATGAAAACATGCTCTAGGTGATCAATAAGCTAAGACCTGTCATATACCACTGGGTCAGACCCTGATGCTGTGGACCTTTTATACCTCTAATGGGGACCTTATCATGGACCCTCTGGGCCCTGCAACATGTATAAATGAGCCCAAGGTTTCACACAGGTGTTTTAACTGACAGCATATTTAACTTGAGGATGTATTTTTTCCAAATATCACATCAGCCATTATTGCCAATGCAGTGCTATTTGATTTGAAGTCAAATATATCAGAGAACACGGAGATTGATGGATAAAGATGGAGAGTGAAAAGTCACCCATGATGCACCTGTACCTCTGAAAGTGGATTTAACTTGAGCTGCAAACAATCCATACCACTTCTGTTCTCTACATCAGAGAGATGAAGTCTAGGAAATCTACAGTCATGGTTTGAACTTTTAAACAATGGATTTCTTATTTCTATTACTAAGTGATGAGAAGGGGGGATTTTTATATCATCTGGGGGTTTTACTGTTTATGTCTTTTTAATGTGGGAATTAAAATCAACAACAACAACCAATGTAGGCAACTTATCTTTGTCTGCTTCTTTATAACTGAATAATTTATCACAGAATCATAATGAACCATTTTTATGGCCATTCTTCTCTTCCTTCCCTTTCTTCCAATTACTTCCTCAACTTGAGAATAAAGAGATGTAGATTTAAGCACTACAAACGAGGAATAAAAAGGCCTTAAAAACACTGCAACCATCAAAACTCATTTTTATCCCTGCCAATTACACTCTGGGGACTATTTTGGACATAATAAATAAAGCCTGATCAAGGATAATGACCACTTAATGGTTCAATAATTCTCTTATTAGACTTGAGTCAGCTGGGATATTAATTGTATATCACAAGAGATGGGTGCTTAGTGAGCAGACTAACATGAACATGGTCCTGCATTAAAAACGGTCATCCATGGTTTCTATACACACTATAAACTACATAATGTGCTCTAACCTGTAAATGTATTACTAAGAAGACAACTGTGGTGCAGGGAATCCTGCCACTGTAATAGTAATAGGGCCCTAGGAATGGATTGGAATCCACTTTCTAGCAAACCCCAATGGACAGGGAAGCAGATGGCTATCCAAATATAATTTCTGGAAACCTTAATGAAATTACTGTCATTTTCTTTCAAGTGCTCTGGGTAAATTCACTGAGAAGAAAAAGAAGCCTGGGACCATGATTTTACCTTGGTGCTTATCTTGGCTTGATATTTAAGTCAAAAGCAACATCAACCAACAGCCAATTTAACATAAGAGAGCAGTAAGTCCATTGCTTTAGTTGAGACACAATCTCAATCTAAGTCACAGCACCAATCTACCTGAAATACAGCTGCTCCAAGCAACTTACCTGTCAAATGATGTCTAAAAAAAAAAATCAAAACTGACACAAACTGACAGTAAGTGAAATTTACATTTGTTCTCAGTTATAGCAATATATCACCCAGCAGCTCTATATCAATTGATATATATATCATTTCTCTCCAAACCATTCCTTTGCTTGAGATAAGGGCAATGCTTGACTTCCATGGAATCTTTGTCATCCCATCCTCTGCCACCAGTGTACTGACTTCTTATCACAGAGTTCAAGGAAGGGTGTAAGATGGTTTTGCAATTGAGTGTCCACTATGTACGGTTAAAACTCATTTTTTACAAATATTTCTATTTCTTTTTTCTTTCTTTCTTTTATTTTGATAAAAATGTTCTAAATATCTCCCACTTATGTCCATGCCTGGTATGATCAAGATTAAGATCACAGGTGTTTTCTTCCTGATCAGACTTTCATCCCTGTCTCAAGTGTCTCCATCCCATGTGAAGTGCCCCCATTCACTTACACAAACACTGTGAAGTAGTGAAGCTGAAGTGAAGTATCCCCTGTCATCTTCAGAGAGATTATCCCCCAATAAATCACCCTCACTACAATACAGGTAAGTTTACACTGGGGACAGACACGTGCCTCTCTCCACTCTGGGATACCTGGGGCTTAGGTTATCATAACTGTGTGAAAGAGACCAGTCCTTGACATACTTAGAAATATTATCCCTATTCCCAAACAAAGTGACATACATTGATAAGAGAAGAACAGCTGTGTATTCAGTGAGAGTTCAAGTAGTCCCCAAGTTCAAAATCTTACAGAAACCCAGATACCATACACCACTGTACTCCACGGAATAGTAAAAAATATGGCCACAAAATAACTATCATACAGACATGTATAAGGAAAATTGAAACAACAATTATTGACACAATACACTGACTGGTTCCTTATCTTGGTTCATAGACAAACAGTCACCATGCAACAGTGTCATTCAACATAACCCTTTCATGCTAACTATGCAAACTGCTCACATGCTGACATCTATATTAAGATCATTACAATAAAATATATACACATTTTAAACAATTCAGTGCACTGTTTTTTAATCATCTGGTGGAGAACTTTAAAAGTCTCTCTGAAATTCCAACATGTGAAATATTTTCTAACGCGATAAAATGATAGATTTCATAAATGTCCTAAAAAAAATTAAGAACTTGTCCTGGAAGAACCAAACTGAATTAAAGAATAACATTATCAACAACAACAACACAAAACAGACATGCTGAAACTGTCGGTCTGATCGGTCATGACCGGGAAAATTTGTCTGGACCGGTAAAAAATTGGACGTGGTAGGTCCAAAGGACCGACAAGAATTTTAAAAGCCACACTTTTAAATTTAGAGTCATCATTTGACATACTTCCCTAATAATAAAATTATATAAAACCCAAAGCATTTTTTCCCTTCTATTTCAATCCTATCACATTCACAAACAAAGTAAGCTACCTAATCGCACTGCTAGTATCTGTCTCAAACGAAGAGGGTAGTTTTCAGTCTGACAAAAATCCATTCGGTCCAGCAAATTATTTTACTACTGCCGGTCCAAATGTCCGGCCACTCTGAAAAGATTTCAGCATGTCTACAAAATGCAGAAATATTTAGCATAAAGATTCAGAACAATAACATCAACCAAAAGACAAACATTCCCAGATATAACTTAACAGAAGTCAAGAATAATATATGCTTTCACCTTGTGCTCAACCATCAGGATTTGCAACTGGCATTTTTTTTTAATTGAAAGTTATCACCCTGAGTTTTAAAGAACTGATACTTTCCATAGCAATATGGATATGATTCATAGGTGAGTGTTCAGTTCACATCAAACTCAGGGTGATAATTCTTGACCCATGTTCAACAGAGCTGAAGAGACATATATACTTACCCTAAAGATAGATTCACAAAGCACAGGCTGAGAAGTGGAAATGACGGAAGACCGTATAAGATTTTTACATTTATGAAGTTACTGTTAGGACAAATTTTTAGAAATAGACAGAAAATAAAGATTCTGAACCTGGGCTAAATTCCACTTCCATTTCTTTACTTTTTTGCCAACTTTTAACTAATTAAAATTTAATTTTTGCCATACACCCCAGTAAGACCATAGTGTTGGCAAAAACAGAAATCAGTGACCCCTTTTGTTAAATCCTGTTATAAAAACATAGATCCTGAGCCGTGAAGCTGTCTCCTTACCTTGCTATAGAACTGGCTGTTGCCTGCTTCAGTCTTCATGGTACCTGATGGCAGTTTCTTCACTGTGGGCTCGCTGTTCTCGTCTTCTGTCCCGCCGCCATCACTGATGCTCCCAGAGCGAGAACCTCTGCAAAGACAAAGTGATGCCAATATGACTTCATGCTGACACCATTGGAGCAGACTACTGGAGCCAATGTAAGGCACCAATGGAGCCATGTTCTCTATAGACTCTTGTATGTTTGGGCCAGCAAGGTACCATGAGGTAATGAGACATCTATGTATGAACACCATAGCATATGTGAGTCAGATATAAAAACCCAAGTGTAACTAAGCACCATTTGATGATCATGGTTTAAGTCATTGGGTATAATGTGGTCCCCAGGTGCCACATCTCATATGTGGGTTTTTCCCCAGTATATTCCAAAGTGGAAACCATTAAATAACACTACAAAAACCAGTTAGACATATATGAAAGAACAGTACAATGATGAACACCATGAAAGTAGACCAAGCAGAGGTAACCAAGTCCACCCAAGGCTGACATGTATTAGTCACTGTCTACCAGCTGGTATGCTGTTGTTTAAGTATCTAACACATTGAATTTGTCAGATATCTTTGAACATAAGGAAACACAAAAAGTAATATGTTTGCCTCATGTTGACAGAGAGCTTTTATCAGCTTCAGAATGTTATGGATATTTTTTAGTTACATTTTCACTTTCACTTTTTCAATTTCTTTGGTCTTTAACAAGCTCAGGTAGCACTTAATTTGACAGTAATACAAGTTAGTACTAACTGTGTAAAATAAAGAATTTTTTTCAGTTCCAATAAAAATTTTTCACTAGCTATAAAAACATATCTATGACAGAGAGATCACAAGATCAGCTGTACCTCAACCTTGCTGTCATCCTTACACCCCACATTTCCTGTTTTTACGTGCGGTTTAACATTCCGTCCACAGACAAATATTGCCACAAGGTGATTCTATTGTAACATGATACCTCAAATAACAGCTCAATGTCACACACAATGCCAATCATCAAACACTTGTCTCCCAAGTTAACCTGTTATCATTGATTAATATATAATAAATGTTGGGCATCTTGGCTCTCGGAGCACTGTTCAGTGTATATATGTGTGTGTGCCAAGGGGAAAGATACAATGGACCTGAGTGGCTCTGTCAAGTACTAGTACGCTATTATTTGTATATCACACACGTACGCACGCACACACACACACATCCTACCACTATGGTAAGATTTTACTAACACAAGTTCTGAAAAAACTCCTTTAATTACCTAAACCTGCTTCAGCAAATATAAATATAACACAAGATGCACAATGTTACTTGTCTTCTAACATACAAATGTGTAGAATGACCTTCATTTAAAGCTTTACTGATTAAGACTTAGGAAAAAAAATACAAGAGACTCCACACTATATTTTGCTAGCGTACAGCTGTTATTGAACTGTTCTTGTATTGATCCTAGTTTAGTGGCTCATTGCCCCTGCTTCATTAAGGGAGACAGACAGACAGACAGACAGACAGACAGACTACTATATATATATCCAACAGACAGATTAATAATCAGAAAGACCACACAAAAAATACATTATCTGAGTTTTTAGGATAAACTTCCTCCATGCACCAGGATAATCGTATAACACAAATATAAACCTGCCACGACAAACAAACACCATTATCATATTTTTCACCACAGCCACCCATCACCATAATAGAATGAATATCATTCTCCATTTTCTTCACTTAAATTTCTTGTTTGTTCTGAAATAACTACCAATTTACATAAATATACACACACCAGATGATTTACTTCTTAATGTCTTCTAAATGTAAGACATGAACACAAAAATAATTCTCATTTATTTCTCTATCACAACAAAAAAACTCTCAGGTACGATAAGGGCGCCATTCAGCAGATCTCATGGCGTCCACTTTATGCCTGGACAGAGGACGGACATCCCATACCAAAGGAGAGATTGCCTGACCACATCATTTACCAGTATTCCCACAGTATATCTTAACTCGTGCTGCACTTATGTTGTACTGATAATATACTGCTTCTCATCGCTAGCCTGTTAAAGCAGTGCGTCGCATCTTATATACTGGCATTGTATCCCAGAATATATTTGAATTTTTATCACAATGCCCTAATTTTGCTGTTAATTCACCCGCTCCTATGTAAAAAAAGAAAATAATGACAGTTGATGGGTGTTTTCTTTTGCATAACTTCAAATAACTTCACCTGTTAGTTTCCATTCAAATACACCTAAGATTTCTACACCTAGCCTATGCATAACTATAACTTATACTAGTAAGTGGATTTCAGATCTATATCTAAGACAAGTTACCTGATTGTAAAAAAAAAAAAAAAAAAAAAAAAATTAGGAAAAAATTCACATAATTACGTTGCATTACACAGCACTCTCATGATGTTAGATTAACATTGGTCCAGTTCTTGACACAGTCCTTGACCACAGTCCTTGACTAGTCCTACAAAAGAGGAACACTAGCTCAATCTTCTACTCCTCCACCATGTACCTTCTTTCGGTGACCAGGAAGCAGTTGGTGACTTACAGGGTTTCTATTCTGATAACAACTCTGTTCAGCTGACAGCTTTTGGCTTATTATTATTTCACTCAACTTTCCTAGAGCTCAGTCTCTGGGCATTCACTTTGAATTTGACCAATTTCTATCTTAATTCCCCGAGTTTTCATGTACACAGAACCAGTATGAACACAATCCAACTGACAACACCATGCATATGTTATTGTCTACAGGTGTCTTCCACAAGTCCGGCCACCAGATCTCAGACTGTCCCCTTGCCTATTCAGTTGTCAACACGGTCCACCTTACAGCAGAGTTCCTATCTTCCTGACAAACAGTCTTCCTATTGTAAAGCCTACACTGTTTAACCTGGACAGATGTCCTAGTCGCTGTCCTGTCCAGTTAACGGAATTTTAAACTGTCACTCGCCACTGTCCTCCTTCCAGTAAATTACAGTATACAGTTACTATAAAAAGTCAGATGACGCAGAGGGCAATTTGTCACTGTCCATAGCTGACTGTCACCGTCACCGGCGCTCTGTCCACTACTGCTAAGGCCGCTGACTTCATCAAAGGGATTTATGCATATAATGTGGAATATCCAGTCCAGATGGACATTCTGCTGACTATCAAGTATGACCTATAGATCTTGTAGCCAATTAGACCACATCACAGTTTAATGGCGAGAGCAGCAGGGGAGTTCATCCGAGTGTCCACTGTAACTTTATATCCTGTTGTATGTATTGTACACTGTTCATAGGAACTACCTTGCTGTTGATGGTAAATTGACTGATGACCAGATGGTACTTCTACTCCTGCAGTGACTTTATGTACAGAAGACCTATGTAGTAACACTGACGTGGCTGTACGACCACTGCGCACACCATGGCACGGTTTCCAGGCTTTACGCTGCACTATCTCACTGAGATTATATAAGTTCATCTAACACGTGACTTAAACACGCATCAGTCTCAGCTGAATCTGTACAAACATTAGGATCTAGTTGCAGAATTCAAAACTAGAAGACGAATGTTTGAATTGAAATTAGTAGCCAACTGGATTTTCTAAAAATAAATTATATATTTTTTGCTGCTAAATCAAAATTTTCTAGAGCACGGGTTATCAGCAGCCCTATCTCTACTCAACTGTCAATTTTCAAAATCAATTTGAAAGCTTTATCACTCTGATATATCTCTAAGCAAACTGAAACAAAGCCTGTGTATTAGCATGACATCAACTTTTGCTTCCTGTTTCATTCTGAAGCAAAGGGGGCAGTACAGCTCTTTCACATGATGGTAAGAACTGAAAATGAGGACTCCATGCTCAGTACGCGTGGAATCATTAGTGAAGGCTAGGTATCGTTACCCTGTGTATTTTCTTAATCAGCACAGTATTGTGTACTCTTCCCTAATCTGGCCTCTTTAATCAACAAACATGGCCCTCCTGCCTAAGGTCTTACTATCTTAACTGTGGGTCTTCTCCGTTATCTGGCCTCATTATCAATTCAAACTGCCCAGTTCCTCTCAATCTCTCCCCATACGATCATTAAGTCTTGTTTCGTTATCTGTCTTTACACAAAAAGATGAAGCAATAGCAGGGTGAGGTACAGTTTTCTTTCCACTGGTCACAATGGGAGGATAATCTTGAAGAAAAGTATTAAAACAATGGACCAGTTTTGACCAGGCCGTCAGTTCTGAACAGTGGGCGATAGGTTTATCTCTCCCCTGGCGAGGCAACAACCAGATAGAGGCAGAGAGACTGATGTGTGGTCTACTCGCACTATCTTCACTCCTACATGTACTTGATCAGGATGGATTTAGTGGATTTACATGAACTGTTGATAAAACAGAGATAATTCTACACTTTTTTTAAGGTTTGAACCCTCTATTATTATTACCTCTTTTTGGTAAATTATAGAAATGTTAAATATTAATAATTTGTCATGTTTCCTCTGAGCAGCCATCTGTGAAAAGGAAAAAGACATCCCGACTTCTCATGAGTTTGATTCCAACAGCTCAGAACAAATAGCTTGGCTTGTAATTAATCTGAATCAACTGGGGACTAACTGACATTTAAAACAAATTGATATCTAAATTAAATAGCCTGAATCTTTGTGTAAATGTCTAACAAAATTAATCTTGATAGATCTGATCTTTGAATCTAACATACATGGTGCTGTGGTTATAAGCATTGTTTTCTTCAAGGACATACACGGCCTATAGTGATATTACCTGCACTTGCCACATACTGGAACACCATTTTGTTCTCCTTCATCCTTAAAAAACTCCACAGAATATAATGAAACTTTACCTTTTCATTTAAATATATATACACCAACAACAAAGAAATGCTCAGCAATGTGATCCTTTGTTAAAAGTAGGTGGTAAAGAGAATTTTCAACAATACAGAAGAGTAAAATAAAATGTTGTCCTTGGTTGAACTGAGGTCATAACTCCAGCCATAAGTATCCTGAAAGGCCTTCCATTATCAGAGTATCTTAATTGCTGGTAACAGTTGACCATGTCATTTCTTATTATCAACACTACTTACTACTGATATT